TGATGACTGGTCCCTGTTGCCGACTGCGTGGAGCTCACAGCTGTCCCCGGCAGGGCTGTTCAGAAAACTCAGCACACCTTCTCCATTCCCCACTCCTCCTCCAGGGAGCTCCAGCTGTGAGACGTAGCTTCTTTGTTTCTCCCAGACCACCGCCTGACACCTAGGGTTCTGACTTATGGAAGCTCTTATGCTTGTGTGCAGTTTGGGTGTTTTTTGTTGAGCTTTAGATGTTCAGCTTATTGTTCTTTCAAGGGGAGTGATCTGGGGACGTCTATCACTCTGTCATATTTCTGACCCTCCTTCGGTATTGTGTTGGTTCTTCTGGGTTGTTTGTCTCCCCATATAAATTTAAGAGTAAATTTGTCAATATCCACAAAGTAATTTGCTGGGATTCTGATTGGGGCTACATTAAATCTACAGATTTAGTTGGGAAGAACTGACATCTTGACAATAATGAGTCTTCCTATCTATAAGAATGGAATATCTCTCCATTAATTTAGTTTTTTTCTATAATTTCTTTCATCAAAGTTTTCTAGTTTTGCTCATACAGGTCTTGTGTAGATTTCGTTAGATTTATACTTAGGTAAAACCAGACATTTTGTGGGTGCTAATATAAATAGTATTATGTTTTTAATTTCAAATCCCACTTGTTCAGTGTTGGTATATAGAAAAGCAATAAACTTTTGCACATTAACTTTATATTCTGAAACCTTGCTATAATTACTCATTAGTTCCAGAAGTTCTTTTGTTGATTCTTCTGGATTTTCTACATAGTCAATCATGTTATCTGTCATTTTCTTCACAATTTGTATATCTTTTTATTTCCTTTTTGTGTCTAACTGCATTAGTAAAGACTTCCAGTATGAGGTTGAAAATGAGTGATGCTAGGGGCATCCTCTTCCTGATCTTAGTAGGAAAGCTTCTAGTTTTTTTTTTTCATCATTAAGTATGGTGCTAGTTGTAGGTTTTTTATAGATGTTTTATCAAGTTGAGGAAGTTTCCCTCTATTCCTAGTTTGCTGAGTGTTTTTAACATAAATGAGCATTGGATGCTGTCAAATATTTTTTCCGCATATATATTTATATGATTGTGTGATTTTTTTCTTTAGCCTGTTGCTGTGATGGATTACATTAGTTGATTTGTTGAACCAGCCTTGCATAACTGCAACACATCTCACTTGGTTATGGTGTAGAATACTTTTTATACATTGTTGGATTTGATTTGCTAATATTTTGTTGAGGAATTTTTTCATCTATGTTAATGATAGATATTTGATTTCTTTTATTGTAATGCTTTTGTCTGGTTTTAGTATTAGGGTTATGTTTCCATCATAAAACGAGTTAAGAAGTATTCCCTCCATTCTATCTTCTGAAAGAAATTGTAAATAATTGGTACAATTTCTCCCTTAAATATTTGGAAGAATTCACCAGTGAACCCACCAGTTAAGCACCTAGGCCAGGTGCTTTCTATTTTGGAAGATTATTAATTATTGATTCAATTTTGTAAATAGATATGGACTAGATATAGGCCTGTTCAGATTGTCTACTTATTTTTGTGTGAGTTTTGGCAGATAGTGTCTTTCAAGGAATTGGTCCATTTCATCTAGGTTATTGAATTTGTGAGCATAGAATTGTTTCTTGCATTTCTTTATTATTCTTTTAATGTCTATAAAATCTGTAGTAAGATGTCTTTTTCATTTCTGATATTAGTAATTTGTGCCCTTTGTATTTGTTTTTAGCCTGGTTAGAATCTTATTAATTTTATTGACCTCTTCAATAAAACTGGCCTTATTAGTTTTATTTATTTATTTCTTGTTTTCAATTTCATTGATTCCTGCCCTAGATTGCATTACTTCATTTCTTCTTCTGATTACTTTGGATTTAATCTGCTCTTTTTTTTTCTAGTTTCTTAAGGTTCAAGCTTAGATGATTTATTTTAGTTCTTTCTTCTTTTCTAATATATGTCCTCAATGGTGTAAATTTTTCTCTAACCACTGCTTTTGTTGCATACACAAATTTTGATAAGTTGAGCTTTCGTTTTCATTTAGTTCAAAATGTTTTTAAATTTCTCTTGAGTTTCTTCTTGAAACATGGGTTATTTAGAAGTATATTATTTAATCTCCATGTATTTTGGAACTTTCCAGTAATCTTTTTGTTACTGATTTCTACTTTAATTCCATTGTGGTCTGACAGGAGACATTGTATCAATTCTATTATTTTATATTTATTAAGGTTTGTTTTTAAATTTGTTATGGCCCAGAACCTGGTCCATCTTGGTGAGTATTCATAGTGTTTTAAAGTACATCTCTTTGTATAGAACACTCCACTCAATAACAACAGAATACACTTTTTTCCCAAGCACCAACAAAACATTTGCCAAGATAAACCATGTGCTTGTCCAAAAAAAAGACCTCAACATATTTAAAAGAATTTAAATCATACAGGGTCAAAATAAATGAATGGGACTGCATCAAACAGAAAAGCTTCTGCTCAGCAAAAGAAACTGTCCACAAGGTAAAGAGACAAACATCTAGATGGGAAAATACATATGCAAACAACACTTCTGATAAGGGCCTAATATCCAAAATATACAAAGAACTCATATGACTCAATAACAACAACAACAACAACAACAAAACAATCCAATCAAAAAATGGGCAGATGACTTGAATAGACATTTCTCCATAGAGGACATACGAATGGCCAACATATGGAAGGATGCTCAACATCGCTAGCTATTAGGAAAATGCAAATCAAAGCCACAATGAGATACCATCTCACACCTGTTAGAATAGCTGTTATCAACAGGACAAGTAATAACTAATAATGGAGAAGATGCGGAGAAATAGGAACACTCATACACTGCTGGTGAGACTGTAAATTGGTACAGCCACTATGGAAAACAGTATAGAAGTTCCTCAAAAAACTAAGAATTGATCAACCGTGTGATTCAGCAATCCCCCTACTGGATATTTACCCCAGAGACTTGAAAACTCATATCCGAAAAGATATTCGCACACTGATGTTTATAGCAGCATTATTCACGGTGGCCAGAACATGGAAGCAACTGCAGTGTCCTATGACAGATGATTGGATAAGGAAGCTGTGGTACATATATAAAATGGAATATTACTCAGCCATAAGAAGAGATGAAATACTGCCATTTGTGACAACATGGATGGACCTCGACATAATCATGCTAAGTAAAATAACCC